GGTGCCGACCTTGGCCCCCGTCGGCGGCCTTCGCGATGTCAGGCAGCTCCGCTGCTGGCATCTCGAGCTGCGCCACCTTGAGAGTCACCTCGATGGTCTTGCTCTGGGCGAAGACAGAGTACGTGTGCGAGCGCGGCACATCAACGATGCACGGGGCCAGGGTGATTCCGGGACCAACGGCCCTGGGCCCCTTGCCCCTGGGCCCCGCGATCCAACCAGGGGCGGATTCTGGCGACGTGAAGGTTGCCGCCGCAGGGTTCACATTTAAATCAATGTCTCCTATAGTGCAGATTATGTAGCTTCCCGCCGCGGGAATGCGCGAGACTTCCAAGGAACGGGGAAGGGCCTGAGGAGAGGGCGAAAGTCGAGAGGTAGGAGGTAGCGTGGCGAGGGCGAGGCAGGGGGGGAGGTGGGGGGGGGGCCGCGGAAACGAGGCAGAGCGTCTGCCCGCCCTTGCATCCTTCACATGCAATTCTAAGTCATCGGGGGATCCAGGGAAGGGGGGGGGGGGGGGGGGGGGGGGCGTCTCAAATCAAACAGCTTGTCCTGGCCGAAACCAAAACCTCGACCCACCCCCCCCCCCTCCCTCCTCGGCCGTTCCCAGCCGCGTGTGCTGCTCCATCGCGGGTCTCTCGCCTCTCCTCCTACCCACCTCCTGCTCATCCTCGCTCTTCCTCTCCTCCTCCTCGCCCTCCTCGCCCCCCCCCCCCCCCCCCCCTCCTCTTCTCTCCTCCTCCTCCTCGCCTTCCTCCTCTTCCCCTCCTCCTCCTCCCCCCCCCCGCCCCACCCCCCCCTAACTCCGCCCCTTCGCCTCCGCCCCCCCCCGCGCTGCCCGAGACCCCCCCGCGCGCGCGGGCCGAGGCCGCCGAGGCTGAGGCCGCCAAGGCGCCGCGCCCGGGGGCGGGGGCAAGGGGCAGTGGCAGCGACAGCAGGAGGGCGAGGAGGATGAGGAGAGGGAGGCGACGAGGACGAGGAGGCTGAGGGGGCAGATGGGGGAGGGGGGGGGGGGGGGGGCTAGGCGCGCTCGCGTCAAATATGGACCAAACCCTACCCCCCCTCCCCCTCCCATCCCTTGCCATGGCGCAGGTCCCCTCTCTAATCGCGCAGTCGGATGTCGAGCAGGGCAATGATCCTGAAAGGGTACGCGATGCATTGTAGAGCACGGCATGGCATGGCGTCGAAGAGCACCGCAAAGCGCATTATCAACCTAGCATTGCATTGCGCGCCGTGGCATGGCGCGGGAAACGACGCCAGCGCTGCAGCGGGGGCGCGAGTCGAAACGAGCGGAAGCGCAGGAATGAGGCCAGCGCTGCAGCGGGAGCACGATGCAGAACGAGCGGAAGCACGGGCATGAGGCCAGCGCTGCAGCGGGAGCACGATTCGGAACGAGCGGGGCCCGAAACTGAGGCCGGCGCCTCAGCGAGAGCAGCATTTTGGAAAAATGCATGCGAGAACCCAGCTCCGGGGAAATCTGCGCGTAAAAAGCAGTGTGCGGGGGGGGGAAGAGGGGGAGTAGTTCGCAGTTCCCCAATCAGAGCTTGCCTTTGTAAGGGGTCCTAGCGGATATAAAGCTGAGGTGAGGTGGGCGGCCGATTTCGGTGGCCGGGGCCGGGTGCCCGGGGGTTCCCGGGGGTGCCCGGGTGCCCGGGTGTGTGGCCGATTTCGGTGGCCGGGGCCGGGTGCCCGGGGGTCCGGGGGTGCCCGGGTGCCCAAGGGTGCCCGGGGTGCCCAGAAGTGCCCGGGGGTGCCTTGCATCCCTATAGCCCAATAGCCCAATCGCCATATATCTTTATAGCACTATAACCCTATAGCCTTATAGCCGCACCTATACGACCATCCCCCGGGTGATAAGGAGGTTCGGGGGGGGGGAGCCAACGTCTCACTCGATCGGTCTCACTATCGATCTCAGTATCGATCTCACTATCGGTCCCGCTCGATCGATCTCACAATCGATTTCACTCGATCTATCTCATTCGATCGATCTCACAATTGATCTCACAATCGATCTCACAATCGATCACACAGTCGATTTCGCATTCGGTCTCAATATCGATCTCATGATCGATATCACAATCGCTCTCATAACCAACGTCATCAACATCGTCATCATCATCAACAACATCATCAGCATCAACAGCATCACCAACATCGTCATCATCACGAGGGCACCGTCATCATCACCATCATAAAACATCATCATCAACGTCAGCATCATCATCGGGATAACATCATCATCACCATCATCATCTCACCATCAGCATCATCATCATCATCATCGGGACACAGTCATCGTCATCATCATCAGCAGCATTATCAGAATCATCATCGTAATCGGGGCATCATCATGATCACCATCGTTCTCATCATCAACATTATCATCAATATCGCCATCATTCCCGGGACACCATCATCATCATGATCATCGCATCATCATCATCATCGACTTCATCATCAACAAAATCGTCACCATCATCGGGGCACCATCATCATCGTGATCAGCATCATCATCAGCATCGTCTTTATCATTATTATCATCACCGGGACACCTTCAGCATCACCATCATCATCATGTCCATCATCAGCATCATCATCGGGACACCATCATCATCATCATCAAGATCATCATCATCAGCCTCATTGCCGGGACACCTTTTCCATCAACTTCATCATCACCAGCATCATCGGAACCATCATCATCATCATCGTCACCATCATCATCATCGGGACACCATCATCGTCGTTATCATCAACATAACCATCATGAGCATCATCATCATCACCAGGGCACTATTATCATCATCGACACCAGCATCACCATCATCACCATCTTCATCGGGGCACCATCATCATCATCATCATCATCATCTCATCATCATCATCCTCGCGAGACACCGCGGGGCACCGGCGGGGCACCGCGGGGCACCGCGGGACACCGCGGGACATCGCGGGGCACCGCGGGACACCGGCGGGGCACCGCGTGCCCCCGCGCCCCGGATGAGAAACATGTGGTCCGGCCGCGCCTCAGCCGCAGGAGGGCGCCGCGGGACGCCGGCGGGGCACCGCGGGGCCCCGCGCCCCGGGAGAGGAACATTTGGTCCGGCCGCGCCTCAGCCACAGGAGATTCTTCCTCGCCCGCCCACGCAGCTTCGCCTCGCACGCACGGCGCGCGCGAACGCGAAACCGAAACCGATTTCCCGGTGGGGGGCTCGCCGTTCCTTTTCGATCCCACCCCCTCACCTCCGATAGCCCTATGGCCCAATTGCCCCGTAGCCCCGTAGCCCCATAGCCCCATAGCCCCATAGCCCTATAGCCCTATAGCCCTATAGGCCTGTGGTCCTGAAGCCCGATATCCGTATATGACTCATAGCCCTATAGCCCGAATAGCCTTATAGCCCTTAGCCCATATAGCCCTGTTGCCCTAGAGCCCCGTAGCCCTAAAGGCTTCTATATGGCCGCATCGCCCTATAGCCCTACAGCTTTAAAGCCGCAAAGCCCTATAGCCCCACCCCCCTCCCAAATTCTGATTGGGGCTTTTTCTGGTATCATATTTATATTGCATAATTGTAAAGGAGGAGGGGGGGGGGGGGGTGCGAGGAAGGGGGGGGGGGGAAGGGGGGGAAAAAAGGGTGGGGGGGGGGGGCGGGAGGGGGGAGAGGAGGGGGGAGGGAGGAATGGGGGGGGGGAGGGGGGGGGGGGAAGGGGGGGGGGGGGGGGGAATGGGCGGGGGATTAGGGGGAAGGGTAAGGGAGGGGGGGGGGGGGGTGGCGGGGGGCAAGGGGGGGGGGGTGGGGGGGGGGGGGAGGGGGGGGGGGGAGGGGATGGGGGGGGAGGGGGGGGGGGGGGGGGGGGTGGTGGGGGGGGGGGACGATCAGCGTAGACGGGTTGGCGGTTCCTGGGGTAGATGGGAGGGGGGGGTGTTGGGGAGGGGGGCGGCGGGTGAGGAGGCGGGTGGTGGGGGTAGCGGGGCAATCGCGGGCGCTCAGAGCAGACCCCGGCCCGCCCCCCCCGCCCTCCCCCCTTGGATGAAGGGGGAGGAGGATGGGGGGCGCCGGCGGGCGGCAGGGGGGGTGGGGGGGAGGAGAAGGAGGGGGATGGGAGAGGGGCGGATGGGGGGGGACGGGGAAGGGGAGGAGGGGGAAAGGGGGGGGGGGGGGGGGGGTGGGGGAGAGGAGTAGGGGGGGGGAGGGGGGGGGGCGGAGGGGAAAACGGGGGGGCGGGGGGGAGCCGAGGGGGGGGGAGGAAGGGGGGGGGGGAGGGGTGGAGGGGAGGAGGACGACGGAGGATGAGGAAAGGAGTGTGGGAAGGGAGAAGAGGAATTGGGGGGAGGAGAAGGAAGTGAGGAATAGAGGGGAGTGGGTGTGGGGAGGGGGGCAGGGGGGAGGGAGGGGTAGGGGGAGGAAGCGGAGATGGGGGCCCCTTCGGACCTATTCCACGAGGTTGAGCACCATCTTCTGATCTGGGAACGGGGCGGATTCGGACTTCATCCACCGCGAACTCGCCGCTGCCTGTTCTGATTATGTAGCCGAACTCTATATATACACTGCGTCTATGCACCGACGATTTTTCTGGCCCCGCACCGGAACTTGCGCAGGACAGCGGATCCTGGTGCGTGCGGGGTTCTGGTGTCTACGTTTTCGTCTTTGCCACGGGAAAACGGGGAAGCGCGCGTGGGCCGCGCCGCCCCGACGTCGTAGCCGTCGCCGACCTGCATAATGTCTTGGGATTGCAAAACGGCCCGCCACTGGTAATGTATATGCTCCAGTTGCCGAATAATGTTCATGCTAGGTGCCTTGTGATAGCTGTGAATGTTTGACCGCGCTGGCCTGGAATGGGCCCCCCTGCGGCGTCTCGACGCCCGCGTCAGGCCCGGGCGTCTTGGCGCAGGTGGCCTGGGCGGCCATTTCGCAGGGCCGCTTCTCGATGCCCAGCAATATGGCGTGCGTGACCATCGCGGGAACAACGTCGGCAGCGGTGGCGAGGCGGCGGGTGCTGCGCCACCCTCAGCGACGCCAGTCCTCTCCCTCGCCCGCGGCCCCCGCCCGCCGCGAGGCGCGGATCTGCGGCGAGGGGGCCGGCTCTGACAACGCCGCAGCGGCGGCCGTGGCCGCGGCGAGAGCCGCGCGAGCCTCGACCTGCTGCTTGCTCATGTCCTGCACCGCGGCGCCACGCTTCGCGGCCATGGCCGCGGCGTCCGCCGCCTCGCCACCCGCGGCCGCCAGCGGGTCTGGAATCTTGCGCGCCCAGTCGCGAGATGACCGGAACCCGGCGCCCAATAATTTTGTGATGTTCGGCGCCGCCGAGTAGGCCCCGCGGCAGGTCGCCGAGAAATCTGCGGCAGTGATCTTCTCCGGGCTGCAGGCGAACATTGCCGTGGCCTTCTTGAAGTGCAGCGTGCAAACTTGCAGAAGCCTCGGGGGGCGTGGAGGAGCAAGTGGAAGCGAGGGGGAAGCGACGGATCACTCGCGCGCGAGGCAGCCTTCGAGACGCGCTGCGCTAACAGGCCCCCCGGAGGATCCACGAGGATGAGGTGGGGGGGAGCAGAGGTGGGGCGGGCTGATCCGACGTCTCCTCCTCGATATGCCTGGCCACCCCCTCGTCGAGCCCCATGCGTCCTCTCCAAGTTATCCAGGGCATTCCCTCCTCCGCCCCCCCCCCTCCTTTCCCCCCCCCCCCCATCGCCCCCCTCCTCCTCGTCGCTCTCGTGACCAAGAGAATCGGGGGCGGAGTGCAGCTTCGGCATCCGCAGCCACGACATCAATGGCGAACAAGAACGCTGCACAGTGCGACATGCGTCTGCGCCTGCGCTCGCAGACACGAGCAGTTCACTGGCCTCGACGCGGGCGGGGGGGGGGGGCTCGATCGTTCCATCGATCTGGTCATCGACTCGTCGTCGATGTCCGCTTCGAAGGTCTTTCGATGGATCGGCCGACCCATCGTCGATCGATCCGTCGATCAATCCATCGCGGACCAATCCGTCGGCAATGTGATAGGTCGATGATCGATCAGAGATCGTCGATCGATCCGTCGTCGATTCGCCATCGCTCCTCGGACCGACCCCTCGCGCGCGGAATGAATGGGGGGGGGGGAGGTGGCGAGCGCGCCGCGGTTCTCGCCGCTGGCGCCCCAGATCGACGGGGCGGTCGACCAGCTGAGCGATTCCAGGGGCCACGTGACCGATGGCATCCAGGACAAGTCAGCCCCGCCACCGCGCCCTCTCTAGCGTTCACGCTGCCCGAGAGCCGATCGAACCTCGAACCCGACGATCTCGCGCCCGAGTAAGAAGGGGGGGGGCGAGGGAGAGAGACGCGGGGAGGGCGAGGAGAGGGGAGGGGCAAGCTAGGCGCGCTCGCGTCACATCTGACATCCTAAAGCCCCCCCCCCCCCCCCCCTCCCAGCCCTTACTATGGCGTGGATTCCCTTTCTACTCGCACAGTCGGATGTCGAGCAGGGCAATGATCCCGAAAAGGGTACGCGATGCATTGTAGAGTGCGGCATGGCATGGCGTAGAAGAGCACCGCTAAGGGTAGTATCAACCTAGCGTTGCATTGCATTTCGTGGCATGGCGCGGGAAATGACGCCAGCGCTGCAGCGGGGGCACGAGTCGAAACGAGCGGAAGCGCGGAAATGACGCCAGCGCTGCAGCGGGAGCACGATCCGGAACGAGCGGAAGCACGGAAATGAGGCCAGCGCTGCAGCGGGAGCGCGATTCGGAACGAGCGGGGCCCGAAAATGAGGCCGGCGTCTCAGCGAGAGCAGCATTTTGAAACACATGCAAACGAAAACCAAACTCCGGGGAAACTTGCGTGTAAAACTACCCCAGTGTGACCTTACCTAGGAATTGGAGCATTTAGGAAAGCAACTTCTACATCTACACCGACAGCTACACATACACTTACACCTGCATCTACATGCCGTCTACTCTGCGCTAATGCTATGCTATGTTATGTTATGCTGCGTTATGCTGCGCTATTCTGCGCTATGCTATGCTATGCTATGCTAGGGTACACTCGGCTTCGCTGTGGTATGCTGGGCTATGCGATATTATGCTATGCTGCGCTATGGTATGCTGTGATATGCTGCGCTATGCTATGTTATGCTATGCTGCGCTGTGCTAGGCTATGATATGACATGATATGCTGCGCTATGCTATGTTATGCTCTGCTATGCTGCACTGTGCGATGCTAAGTGATACTATGTTGTGATATGCTATGATATACTATGCTGCGCTATGACATGTTATGTTATGCTGAGCTATGCTGTGCTGTGCTGTGCTATGATGCGCTTGGCGATGCTATGCTATGCTGTGTAAATGCTGCGCTGAGCTGCGCTAAGGTAAGGTAGGCTATGCTAAGCCAAGCTAACCAAAACCAGGCCTTGCTAAGCTAAGCTAGGCCAAGCTAAACTAAAGCTAAGCTAAGCTAGGATGAGGTAAGCTAAGCTAGGCTAGGCAAAGCTAAGCTAAGCTAAGCTAAGCTAAGCTAAGATGAGACAAGCTGAGCTTAGCTTAGCTTAGCTGAGCTGAGCTAAGCTGGGTGAACCCAGGGGGCGTAACTGGGGGGGCCGCGGGGGGGGGCCTGGGGGGGCCGCGGGGCGGGTGCCGGGGGAACCGCCTGGGGCGAGGGGCATTGCCCGACTCCTTTTAAGTTCTAAGTAGGCAGCGCTAAGCTAAGGGGCTGTCACTGGGGGAACCGCGGGGCGGATCCTGGGGGAACCGCCCGGGGCGTGGAAAACTGCCCAGTTTGATGCCAACGCGGTGAGAACCCTTCCAGGCAAAGCCTAGGTATGGAAGAAACAATACGGGCGGGGTCGAGCATTTTCAAACCGTCATCAGGGGGAGAGGGGGAGTAGTATTCATATTGAGTCATTGCGGAGGGGGGGGGGGGGGGGAAGGGGCAAGCTAGGTGCGCTCGCGTCATATCTGACGTCCTACCCCCCCCTCCCACCCCTTACCATGGCGCCGACTTTCTCTATCCGCGGACGCGTGTCGTAGCGGACCTGTGGCTCCGCGCGTGCGTGCGTAGTGGGTGGTGGTGCGCGTGCGTGCGTGCGTGCGTGTGTGCGTGGTTGTGGTGGTGCTGGTGCTGGTGCTGGTGCTGGTGCTGGTGCTGGTGCTGGTGCTGGTGCTGGTGCTGGTGCTGGTGGTGGTGGTGATGGTGGTGCTGGTGGTGGTGGTGGTGGTGGTGTGTGTGTGTGCGTGTGTGCGCGCGCGCGCGTGTGCTGTGGCATGGCACGGGAAATGGCGCCAGCGCTGCAGCGGGACCGCGAGTCGAAACGGGCGGAAGCGCGGAAATGAGGCCAGCGCCGCAGTTGGAGCGCGATTCGGAACGAGCGGAAGCACGGAAATGAGGCCAGCGCTGCAGCGGGAGCAAGATTCGAAACGAGCGTGGCCCGAGAATGTGGCCGGCGCCTCAGCGAGAGCAGCATTTTGGAAGAATGCATGCGAGAACCCGACCCCCGGGAAACCTGCGTGTAAAAAAGCAGGGCGCGGGGGGGGGGCTCGGCTACTCCCGGCGCGCCATCGAGGGAAGAGGGGGAGTAGTATTCATATTGAGCAATTGTGGAGAAGGAAGAGTACATATGAGATCGGAGGAGACTCGTGGAGGAGGGGGGGGAGGAGGGAGTAGGAGGAGGAGGAGGAGCGAGGTCGATGAGAGGGGGCGTGGCACCACAGATGCCCGCTCCCCGCCGCGCCAGGTCGACGGTCGACTGCGATGAGATCAATGCTGGCTTGGGCGAGGCCTCGCCCCCAGCTCGCATTCGAATCCTTAAGTATCTATAGATCTAACCTCCCCAAGCCGCGTTCCCTCGCATCAGTTGGGCGCCCGCTGGGCGCGCGCCCTCGCGCAGTTGACGGGGGGGCAAGTAGATCAATGTCGACCGACGGGGGCGCCGTCTTTAAAGAGGGGCCCCAGCCCCATGCAGGGGCGATCAATAAACTCGGGCGCCACCGCCCCCCTCTCGAGCCATCGATTCCGACCCCTTCCTCGCGAGGCGAATCGGCTCTGGGGCCTGATTGCCCCAGCGATGGCATCGGCGAGCGCGGCGACGAGGGCGTCGGAAGACGCTCCGGATCAGCGCGCGCGTGCGCGGGGGGGGGGGGGGGGCGTGAGCTCGTGATGTGTGTGTGTGTGTGTGTGTGTGTGCGTGTGTGCGTGTGTGTGATGTGTGACTTTTTGTGGTTTGCGTAATGTGCGTGCGATGCGCGTGCGACGTGCGCGCCAACGCGCGAGCGCGTGACTCGTGTTCATCTCTCTGCTCGGATTTCAGGATTTCAAGGGGCGCGCGGTTAACCGTGTGAATGCGCTGCGTGCGCAGTGCGATAGGCGCCGGTATTTGGACCGCGCGCAGTTGCTCTGCCCCGTCGGTGGCGAGGCTGGCGAGGGGAACGAGGTGGGGATCCATGGTGAAAAGGAGGTAACTGATGATCGAGAATGAAGGAGGGGAGGGGGGGGATGGGGCGATGTCCACGCGCAAACCTTCTGCTGCTGCGGAGTGCCCGACGCGCGAGGACGCGGCGGCAACTCGTGAGCCTTGTCGTCAGGAAGCGTGGGGGAAAAGGAAGGACTGTCTGCTGCTTACAGTCGAACAGTCGGGGCAGTCTGACCTGCCCGATGCAGCTGAGTTCCTCGACGCTGCGGGGCATGCCCCTGCAGGTCGACGGGTTGCAGCGCAGGCGGTTCGGATTAGTGGGTCGACCCCGCCAAATCAAGGGTGCCCTTGCGTCCTGTGTCTCGCGGCCCATGCATCCTGCATTTCTGTGGCAATGTGGCCCTCGGAAGGGCACTGTGCCTTCCCGCGCGCCCTGTCCAACCGGGTCCGATTGTGGGGCATGCAGGTCGCCAAGTGAAACATGTTTGCCGTCTGGAGTTGCCGAGGGCCGACCCTCGCTTCCAAGGTGTATCATAACAAACCTCTGCTTGTGTCTCCTGGGGCCGATCTCGAAGATATGGTCGGCGCCCTCGCTTGAGACATCCTCGCATTCTTTAGCGAAGAGGATTGGGGCGCGCTCTCTGGGGGGGCGCGAGGGCGTCTCGAGCGGCCCAGGCGCTCTCGCAGTAGTGCTGGCCAGTCAGATCCCGCATCGCGTGGCCGCAGTCGCCGTCGCGATCAGGCTTTTTGGAGATCTCTGGAATCGACCGCGCCAGGTTTGCGCAATCTTTCGCGCTTGAACCGCCTGTCGCCATGGCAGCCCGCGCACCGGCAGCATCGGCATCCATCGAGACAGCCGGGAAGTCAACTAATGCACGGCAGCTCGCGGGCCCGCGCGGGGAAGGGTTGCGGGGGCACTTCCTCGGCAGGTGGGGCGAGGGCGCGGTCGCGGCGCAGGATGTCTGGGAGATGGGGGGGGAGGGGGGGGTCATATTACCACGTTCGCCCCACCTCTGTGATTTTTTCGAGTGAAGGTCGAA